TAATTTGTTATACGATATGCGTTTAAAAAGCAACTTATGCAAAATTCCAAGTGAAAAATTCCAAGCAACAAAACCCGTGCGTACTTTGATGTACGACTGATCGGACTGCCGACTGATTGTATATACCGTCCTTCGTTATCGTCTTTGCATGTTGTTATTATTTCTCATCAAAAGAGTATTTAGCTATTGGAGAAATGACCGTGTTTCTTGAATGAAGTACTTCCTAGCGTATTTTTCTTGTTATCTTAAAACAAAGTAACTTGCACTTGGTTGAATGAAAATAGATTCAAGAAAAATTTCCGAATTTTTCAAGAGAAGAGAGATTTTTCTTGAGTTAAGAGAGTTTTTCTTCAGGCAAAATATTTTCTTTTACCCTAAAATAAATTCTCTTGCCACTAAATTTTTTTTTCAAGAACGATGACGACTTTAGTTCAAGTCTATCTTTTTTATCAGTGTATATATTCAAATTTTCAGTATTTCATTCATTTTGTTCATTACTCCTACTTGGAGCATAGAGCTTCAATAAATGCTCTAGGTACAGAAGGTTCGGTTGTTTGCAAGTGATTTAACATCTCGCCATGATCGCTTTACTGCTTCGATCTGCTTTTTAATTGTCCTTTTCCATGTGTGTCTTGGACGACCAGTTCTTCTACTGCCTTGTGGATTGCACTCAATAGCTCTGAAAGCGATGTTGTTGCCGCTTCGCTCTTAATGTGTGACCAGTCCACCTCCATTTCCTAAGTTTGATCTCGTTATACACCTGCTTTTGGTTGGTCAAGCTCCATAAATCCTAATTTCTGATAGTATTTGGCCAGAATATTCCTATAATATCTCGCAGACATGGAATTTGTTAACTAATGGCGATGAAATTTTCCAGATCTCTGTCCTATACAGGCAATACTGATTTGACATCGAATCGAAAATTTTAAGGTTTTTAAAGTTGAGATTACTGTCTAGATCTCCAAATATTGTTGAGCATTCCAAAATTCCATTCCAAATGTTATGCTGGCCTTGTTTATTCTATTTATGATATCTTGCTGTGCGCTTCCGTTGGTTGAGATTATACTGCCCAAATAAAAGTAAAATTATTTACTTCCTCTATAAGTGTTCTTCCAATGATAAAGGGAGGGAAATTGTTGGTACCAACTCTCATCAAACAGAAAAAAGACAGGGGCCACAGGCATAGCAAAGCCTTCATCCAAGAACCTAATTCTAAAACCACAAAGGAACTGCTAATGATCTGCAGAAATAAAGTGCGGATTACATCTTTGACAGGACATAGAGCAGTCCTCAACCTGTGTCAAGAAGTCTTGATATGCGACACTTCTATAGATAAATGACACTTCTATTTAGAAAAGCAAGGCTAGAGGCGGAAGAACTATGCTCCCATCCTATCAAGGAGCTACACAAGCCGGTGCAGTGATAGGAGACTAAGGCAGATAAAGAAATGAATACAAAAGAAAGAAATTTCATTAATATTGAGCAAATAAATGATATATGTATGTTTCTAATTTGAAAAAAAAGTCTGACCAATACATTTGTACAGTGCTTTCCATAAAATCAATAAAATGAAAAATATACCAAATAAAATAAATGTACAGATTTCTTTCGAAAATCGACATCTATATATGAACCCTTCCTGGCCACAAACGGTACATTGTGAGACAGGAAATTGTAGAGAGAAACAAGCCCTATAACATAGGATACGACATTTTAATGAACAGTGCTTGCCATAAAATCAATAAAATGAAAAATATACGAAATAAAATAAATGTACCGATTTCTTTCCAAAATCGACATCTATGAAAATATGAACCCTTCCTGGACGCAAACGGTACATTGTGAGACAGGAAATTGTAGAGAGAAACAAGCCCTATAACACAGGATACAACATTTGAATGAACAGTGCTTTCCATAAAATCAATAAAATGAAAAATATACGAAATAATATAGATGTTCTGATTTCTTTTGAAAATCGACATCTATGAAAATATGAACCCTTTCTGGACACAAACGGTACATTGTGAGACAGGAAATTGTAGAGAGAAACAAGCCCTATAACATAGGATACAACATTTTAATGAACAGTGCTTGCCATAAAATCAATAAAATGAAAAATATACGAAATAAAATAAATGTACCGATTTCTTTCGAAAATCGACATCTATGAAAATATGAACCCTTCCTGGACACAAACGGTACATTGTGAGACAGAGATACATTTAAACTCCTACAGAACAAGTTTAAATCAAACGGCAAGCAACACAATCGAATTTTAATGTGCATTCCTTAAATAAAAGAAATAAAACTCAAGGTTACCTAAGTATCGACTGGGTAAAGTGACAGTGGAAAAAATACTTCTCGGTTTCTCTACTACGGGCCAACATCTCGAAGAAAAATCCTTATGGTAACTTGATAGATTAAAGAAACAGGTTTTCTTGCCGCTTCTAATGTTACAAAGGATTTTTTTTTATTTTATCCCATAACAAATCTTGTAGGGAACCTAATTTTGAAATGTATACTAAAAGGCACAAACAACAGACACCTTAAAATCCTCATGTATTTTAAATTTCAATATATTTTGTTCAGACATTTTCCCCACAGAGTTTCTTAACTTCAATGTACTTCAATGTAATTAGACATACGTAAACATATGATTTGTATATCTTCAGTACCTTTCTTTTGTATAGTAAACTCTGTCTATTTGTATTATTGGTCTGAGCGAATAACACATTCAAAGGATGTGGTCTATCCAATGAAAAAACAACGAATCTATATAAGCTAGATAATGCAGCAAATTCCCACAGATAAATTATATCCGCACTAAACAGTACGATTTCGACTATAAACCTGATATAAAACGTTACCAATGAGTTCTTCCGCTTTATATGAGTTAAATTAACAATCGCAACCGATGATGGGAACCGGCATTAGTGGTAGATTGTGAAAATGAACCATTGTTTACTTGTGCGGCGTTGTGAAACGTCCGTATATATTAAACAATGTTTAAATTCCCGTCATTCACATAGTCATATAATAGTTATATGACAGCTGAACTTTGTACTATTAATTCATAAATAATTGAAGAGTAATAGGTATCCCTCAAATTAGACTCTTTCTGTTTATAGTCCAAGAAAATAGGCCTTCAAATGCAAAGTTTTGGTAAAAACTTGAATTTTTGATATGAGCTACTTGAAAGACCTAAAAACGAACTGTGAAAGATTTTTTTTAAATTTACCCCCGAGAAGGGGTGAAATTCGTTACTAGATCTTTCAAAGTAACTTATATCAAAAATTCCCAGAAAGTTTTTACCAAAACTTCGTATTTAAAGGTCTATTTTCTTGGACTATTGAACGAGTCGTTCATTTGAACGAGTATTAAAAATAAATCGTGAGATTCGTTTCACTCCTTAGAATACGATTCGTTCAATTGTGACCAGCACGGATCCATAAATTTTGAACGAATCGTAAGAATTTAATCGGATCACAATGCGACTCGTTCATTTCTACGGTTCCTTCGTTCAAAGAATCGTGAGAATTGATTCGTAGCTTACAATACTGTTCGTTCGATTGAATCGTGGCCAGCTGGGCAAAGATTGAACGAGTCATTCATTTGAAAGAGTATTAAAAATGAATCTTGAGGTTCGATTCGTTCAGAACAAATCGTAAGAATTGAATCGGATCACAAAGCGACTCGTTCATTTCTACGGTTCGTTCGTTCAAAGAATCGTGAGAATTGATTCGTAGCTTACAATACTGTTCGTTCAATTGAATCGTGGCCAGCTGGACAAAGACTGATTGAGTCGTTCATTTGAAAGAGTATTAAAAATGAATTTTGAGGTTCGATTCGTTCAGCACAAATTGTAAGAATTGAATCGGATCACAAAGCGACTCGTTCATTTCTATACGGTTCGTTCGTTCAAAGAATCGTGAGAATTGATTCGTAGCTTACAACACTGTTCGTTCAATTGAATCATAGCCAGCTGGGCAAAGATTGATTGAGTCGTTCATTTGAAAGAGTATTACAAATGAATCTTGAGGTTCGATTCGTTCAGAACGAATCGTAAGAATTCAATCGTATCACAATGCGAGTCGTTCATTTCTACGGTTCGTTCGTTCAAAGAATGGTGAGAATTGATTCGTAGCTTACAATACTGTTCGTTCAATGGAATCGTGGCCAGCTGGGCAAGATTGATTGAATCGTTCATTTGAAAGAGTATTAAAAATGAATCTTGAGGTTCGATTCATTCAAAACGAATCGTAAGAATTGAATCGGATCACAATGCGACTCGTTCGTTCAAAGAATCGTGAGAATTGATTCATTGCTTACAATACAACTCGTTTAAAAAATAAATATTAGAATTATATACTATGAGCAAAATATGTTTGTAGTTTCACTAAAAAGAATCGTAATGCCCATTACTACTTTGCGGGATATTGGTATGTATAATGTATATAAATTTTCTTACGCACGGTTATTTTCTCATTTCTTTTGATTTTTCCGCTGCATTCTCAGATGAAAAACGGAGAAAGAGATACGGTTAGGCACGGCGAACGGCATTTAATTATAATTCTGTTCGCTACAAAAGTGGACTAATTGAGTTAACGATATTTAGAACCAGGTTTCGCGATTTTTCAGAGCGTGATAACAATTTTTCTAGCGCTTCTCTCAGGAGAGATCTCTCGCGTGCGTGCTTCAAAATTAGTATGTTTCTCATATTTAATATATAATTTATCCGTAATTAGTATAGTGAGTGAATTAAATATACCATATGAAAGATTTACAACCAAGTGTTGAAAAAAGCAATAAAAAATGTACTAAATTTGAGAAAAAAATGTAAAAAAATAAAATAAAAATAAAACACAGAAAAATAATTATTAGATATACAAAGTTAGTTACAACAACGATAAATGCAATACCAAAAAAGCCAAATCTTCTTTAGAAGAGGGGGTTAGCACAACAAACAAGATCTTTAAACACCAGAAAACACCCTGTGTTACCTTTTTTATTGCGCAGTTTCCGGCATTTCGACTTTCTGCCGGACTCGTGACCCTCTGCAAAGGAAGTAGCCAAAGTCAATAAAAATTTTACTCTAGGTTACAATTTATTTGAGGCTATAAAATGAAATGAACTCGGAAATGAATTTGAAGGTGTCTCGTATTGAAGGGATGATCGTGATATAATAAAAATGATATATCTAGTACGGTATGATCGAAAAAAAGAGCGTCGAATTGGCTTGGAAAGGGCGATGAATAATATTCACCATAATATATAATTTTACATTTAAAAAAATTGAAGGTAATCTTTCTAAGTCTGACGCCGTTTTTTCGATCGTATGGCATATATCCTATAATTCCTATAATAAAAAAATAACTTGCAATCATTTTTTTTCACCAAGCTGAAGTGTCTATATGGTTTATTAAATAAAAACACGTAATTCAAGTAAATATACAGGGTGAGTCTTAAATTAGGACAAATATTTTCAGGGCTGGTAGATCTCGATAAAAGAAACATATTTTCTCTTTACCGTTTTTCAAATAAGTCCAAATAACCGAGTTACCTATTTTACTTTGAAAATTTCCAAAAAAAAAAGATTTTTTGCTTAAATTTTGAGAACCCCTGGATCTTTTCTGGATTTTCTTTCTTGTAAATTTAATCTACTCCCTATGTTGCCATATTATCAAGAAATTATGTTTTTTAATTAAAAACTAAAAAAAATCCTTTTTTTTTCAAAAAATTCCAACTATTTTTTTTTTTCGCAAAAAACCCTTCAAACTCGTGTTTCTGAGGTCGAAATATACCACCCCTAAAATATTTGCACTTATTTAAGACTCATCCTGTATATGGTTCTGATAATAACGAAATAAGTATTTGTTTGATTTTTTTTCATGAAATTTGTGTCTTTCTGATTATTTAAGTTAAATAATGAGTTAGTCCATTGGAACAAAACTGATTTAATTCAAATAAGCTATTATTTAGTCTATATATAATACAGTATGATCGAAAAAAAAACGGCGTCCAGTTGGCTTGGAAATGAACATCGATGACATTCCACATATAATTTTATATATAAAATGACAGCGATCTTCACTTCATAGCCATCGCTGACGTCGTTTTTTATTTCAATCATATTCCATAATACTAAATTATATCATAATACTAAATTTAAATACGAATATAATATGCTCATATCCTTTGTCTTTGAGCTGCCGTCATACTATGCATATATTTTATGTCCTTCACCTCCCATAACTGGACGTATATAAGACATACCCTGTATAATTATATTACTAAGTAAACAGCTCATTTGCTAATTTTCTGATCTTTTTGCGTCAGTTTTTTAAGGCTTATATTCACAAAATATTTGCAATGTCTGTTTGAATCGTATAGATAAAAAATTAGATAAGAAAAACAATGCTCGTTTCATTTCACAGTGTAATCCAAATACAAAAAGATTTTTTTTAATAAATTCTTAGATTATATGCGGTCTCGTCTCATAAATAAGTACAATGTAGTACCCTTTTCTGCGTGCTGCGACCACACATTTTAAAGCCTAAACAAACAAATTTCAACATGCCCCTCAAATGGAAACATATACTTTTCTATAGGAGATAGACAAAAACTAATATCGGTGTCTGGAGCTCAATTTTTGTCAAAAACATGATGGTGCAAACCGCATATCGATATCCGTTTCCGTTTCGGAGTTACGGGGTATTTTTCAAAAATATGCATTTTTAACAAATCGCTGTAACTTTTTTGCTATGGAAAATTTTGTATTTTTATGAAAATATTTCCAAAGCATCTTTTTACGTAGAATTTAATGGTTTAAGTATAATTTTTTTAAAATTAATAATTTAAGAATTATCTACAGAAAATTTGATTTTTTATATGGGACACCCTGTATATTTTTAATTTATTGAAAATAATTTAAAATTACCTTTCCAAAAATATAACACACTTGATATTTTGCTCGATTCCTCTTCGAGATATAGAGTATATAAAAATTCGCCCGCTTTAAATAAGTAGGCTTTGTACGGCACCGGCTGTAATGCAAAAACATTCTAGCTGTGAGCATCAATTAAAACGAAAATAATAATTGCTATGAGAGATGCAGAATTTTATAACAATTTAAAATATATTTAACCAACATCAACACATTTAAACTATATCTAATAACAATAAAAATAAATAGCAAACCAAGACATGAGATTTTGCTACAGGTGTTCGACATATCGACCGTCTTCTGTTATGGACAGACGGGGTAGTTTTTGAAAATTTCTCGCAGAATTCATTAACTCAGTGGGGTGAAAGTTACCCTCTTATAACTGCTAAGTATTTTTAATTCTTGTCTAGATTATACGGAAGAATAAGGAACCTTTATTCTTCCGCAAATATATCCATAGGATTAGATCCATGGGCACTAAGTCAAGCGACCTCGACGGCCAACAGCTGGGATCTTGGTTAGCTATCCACTTATTCTTGAAATTGGCTGCAAAAATTTGCTGATAACTTCAGCGTTCAGAGGCGGTGCGTCGTTTTGCTGGAAAAATATGTTTTCGAATTCCATTAAGGGCATATCATCAACAAGTGGTCCAAAGCCTACTAGCTAAAAGTGGCGAACTTATAAAAATTCTGTATTTCGAAGGGGATTATAACAAAATATCAAGTGTGCTATATTTTTGGAAAGGTAATTTTAAATTCTTTTCAGTTAATTAAAATATAGAGGGTGTCCCAAATAAAAAATCATTTTTTTTGTTGATAACTCTTAAATTATTAATTTAAAAAAAATTATACTTAAACCATTAAATTCTACGTAAAAAGGTGCTTTGGAAATGTTTTCATAGAAATACAAAATTTTCCATAGCAAAAAAGTTACAGTGATTTGTTAAAAATGCACATTTTTGAAAAACACCCCGTAACTCCGAAACGGTAACAGATATTGATGTGATGTTTTCACCATCATGTTTTTGATAAAAATTGATCTCCAGACACCGATATTAGTTTTCGTCAATCTCCTATAGAAAAGGGTGTTTCCATTTAAAAGCGTCGAATTTGATCCACCCTGTACAACCCAGACGAGATTGTTTCACATACAATGAAATAAAAAAAAATAAAAAATCATGTCCTTGCCTTATTAGAAATATAATCAAATAAAATGCATTACAGAGGAACCATGCATGTAATAATTAGACACCATGTATCTAAGAACAAAATAAAATATACAACATCATTTTTTTTAACTGGTAAAAAAATTCGAAGGATTCTCAGCAAGGTGAAACTTAAATTTGAATTACAAGATAGAAAACCTGCAAAATGTATTCATAAATAACCTTCTTACGCCTATATCTATATCTATACAGGGTGGTCCGAACTGTATTCCGGAAACTTCGGCAGCATATTCTGCAAATAAAAATAAGTAAAAAATTCGTATAAATGTATATCCTAACAAGGTGTAGAAGTTTCATTTTTATTTCGAGAGATTTTTTGCCAATAATTTGTGAAGTAACGTCAATATTTGGATGAAAATTAGTGTCTGGGAGTTTGTTCTGAGAGTAAAATATTGAGGTTTACTTATTTGGAAAAAATCGAAATAAAAATGAAACTTCTACGCCCTGTATCTCCGAAACTAAGTATTGTAGGGCATAAATTTATACGAACTTTTTTACTTATTTTAATCTGCAGAATATGCTGCCGAAGTTTCGGGAATACAGTTCGGACCACCCTGTATAAAAAAATATTTCTTTTGTAGAGTTGGTTTCATTTGAAAAGACAAATTGAAGAAAAATTATTTTAAAAATAGAAAAAAAAATAACAGCCACAACTAAAGATTCATTCACATTTGTCATTAAGTACTTTAGTTTGTCGTAAAGCATTTTTGGTCAGTTAACTTTTTTAGTTCGTAGATTTTTCTAGTGGCGATTAAAACAATATTTATACAATTTCAAAATGTTCCTCAGCTTGAATAAATATCTGGATACCTGTGAAGGTTCTTTCATACATAACTGATACCTGCGAAGAATTTGAATATATTTTCTTAACGTTTTCTATGCCTTTAGGGCTCAAGTTCAAGTACTGAGGGGTACAAACAAGCTACTTTGACTTTTTTTAATAGCCCATAAGATATCTATTGACTCCAACTCTGAACGAAAAGCAGTTAAACTGAATTTTATTGTCAGTCTAAGCTAAATATTTCTCGTGAAAATATCATTAAGAACGAGCTAAGTGGAAATTAAGTTATTTACGAGTTTGTTTTTTCGAACTTACCATAAAACAGGTCCGAAAAATCAATTAATTTTGTCTTATTTAATGTGTTTGGGAGTGTTGGTATATTTGTTTAAACAATTAACTAAAGGTTAAACAAATAAAAGGTGTCTTTTGTAGACATTTAATTAATTACTTGGCACTTCATTATAAGATTAATTAATTATTCATTTCTAATAACCTAGAGACAAATAATATAAATACTCAAACCCTACTGTACAAAACGAATAATAAACCCAAGATATACAATCAAGATGAAAACAGAAAAATGCTAGCTTGCCACACAATTTTTTCAAAATTCGATAAAAAATATTTTTTTAGAAATAGGAGTTGTGTGTCTGGGAGCGTTCTATCCTTTTTTAATCTTTCTATCTCTAATCTCCGTTTTATGTCAATTTTTAGTAAATGATGTCTAGCTAGAGATGGACCTCGTCAAATTTATCATCGATTGCCATTCCACAGCCGTCTTTGACGCCGTTTTCTTTCGATTATACGGTAGTATAAACCTCAATCCTCCGGAATAGCTCTAAAATATCATATTGCTATAGATAAAAAATATATACAATATATAATATATTTAAGTATTTTCTAAGATTTCTAAGGTATCTTTCACAAAAAAATACATAGGCCTGTCTAGCTAACTACAATATTTTACAAAATCTACCACGCCTTCTGCATACCTGCCTCGGTCCGAACAAGTTCTTTTCAGATATAAATTAGGCATTAGTGTTGGATTAGAGCTTTCAAAAAAAAAGGTCTAGGTATAATAATTTTCGAGATTTTCTTTTCAGTAGGGTCATTAAAGAGAAAAAAAGGCTATTAAATTTTGGTTCGGAAAAGATTGGAGGATGAGGAACATTAAAATATTTCTATAAACCAAACCAAACAGGTTTAAAAGTCTTTTTAGACCTTAGAAATGTTTTTTAACTACATATTTTCGTTAAAAAAAATATAATTTTCATAAAAGAATGAATTGAAAATAGATTTCTAAGTCAAAAACTTTTGGGTAGACCACAGACCTGTTATAATTCTTTTTTCAAAATTTGACAACATCATAATTAAATAATTAATTTAATTATGATGTTGTCTTTTTTTGTCTCAATGTATAGGACCACATGCCTCTGGTCTATTTAAATATCTATCTAGCATTATTATCGATTTTTTGTGTTAAACAATAGCTTATTAGAATTAAATAAATTCATATAATGGGTATCTTAATAAAGATATCATACGATCGAAAAAAAAACGGCGTTAGAGATGTCTTAGAAATGGAGATCTCTGTTATTTTGTATATAAAATTATATGAGATATGTACCCATCCGATCGTCATTTCTACGCTAACTGGACGCCGTTTTTTTTTCGGCCATGCGGTACAATATCTCAATATTTGTTCCATAAAATTTTATTTACACAAAACATCAGAATAAAAATAGATTTTTCCAAAATTTCAAATATACTTTTGATTCGTAACTATCAAAGCAATACATATTTACTTGAATTCGTATATTTCTATATTTAAATCAAATTGTTGTTTGTCCAATGTATAATCCTCGGTATAATCTATTTTTTAACTAAAAATAGTACATACTAGGCATATTGGATTTCTACAGTTCTTTACTTAAAACTTTCTGATCACCCTTGTAGGTGATCAGAAAGTTTTATATAATCTCTCCAATGAGTCAAGAAAGATTTCGACAGACCAACCCAAAAAATGATAGAAACTGATCCATGACAGACACAGCTGTCAGACTATAATGATCAAACTGTACATCAATAAAACAATCTCTTTCGAAAGTACGGTATTATAATCGAAAAAAATAAAATTAAATACTTGTTTTCTCAATGATTTTAATACAAAAACCAACTTATTTATAATAAATATCACTCAAAAACCCAAAATTTACACACATCTTTCACTCTTTTCCTCCACTCACCAACAATGACAGCCGTCACTCCCGCCTCCTTGATCTCCCTGATCTCTTTGGCCTCCTTGCCCGCGCTTAGAAAATCGCTCAGACTCAAACTTGAGGCGATGAGCTGTCTCTTCTCCTCGAAATTGAGGTAGTCCAGGCTGTTGCTCCTGGTGGGTGCCACGATGGCCACGTTCTTCGTTTTCATCGTTTGCTGGGTCTTGTCGTGCATCGTAACGCCGCCGCTGGTCGCGTTCGGGGACGCCACTGGTTTCTGGTCTCCGGGCACGACGAACACGCCACTGAAGCGGACTGACATCCTGCTGTATCAGGGGCGTACACACAGTGGTTATTTTAGTTTATGTTTATGTTTTTTTTTAGATTAATTTTTTGTACGGTTTTTTTAATGTGTAGGTATTCTTAAAGTGACCAGATTTTGGGTCAATCAAGAATCAATAATAGTAATGACGCAATATGTAATTTTTACGTAAAAAAAGTCTTTTGAGCTAAATTTAAAAATCTATACCAATGTATAAAATCCTTAAGATCCTGCTCAAACCATTCAACGTAAGGAGCTCAATTTTAGCATACAGGTTGATTCTAGGGTGTAGAGGTTCGATAAGAAGGAATTTTTCAAAATTCAAGTTCCAAGAGGGTGAAACCACCCCTCAAATATTACAATATTTTTTATTTAAAAAACGGTCAAGTTTCCGAAAGAACGCTTAAACACGTATATTTTATTTTGTTGTTTTAAATATTTTAAGATTTTTTATAAATTTATACAGGATGTTTCATAAAATATGACCATTGAGTAATCACGATTCTGCTTAAACTGCTTGACGTTTAAAGCTGATTTTTGGCAAACGGATTGACTGTGGGGTGTAGGGGTTCGATAAGGAGGGGTTTCTCGAATCTCAAATTCCAAGAGGGTGAAAACGCCCCTCAAATATTACAATATTTGTTATTTAAAAAACGGTTAGTCTTTCGGGAAACCGCTTGGACAAGCATAATTTATTTGGTTTTTTTACATATTTTGAAGTTTTTTAAAAAATCATACAGGGTATTACATATTTTATACAGGGTGTTTCAAAAAACATATATGCCATCTTTCTTCAGGAGATTCCTCACGTAAAAATACGATTTATTTTTCATAGCAACATAGGTCCGATTCTGTTTTATTTTGTAGCTACAGGGTGTTAAAATTGTCTTAATGGTTGTCTTAATCATCTTTCGATTTATTATACTTTTCTTCCAAGTACTTTCAGTGATTCGAATGGAATTTTGAGAGTAAAAGTTATACATATTTTAATGTTAAAAAAATGTCGATAAATTCATCAGGGACGTGCATGTGGGTTATCAGTGGAATATTTTTCAAACAAAAAAACATGTGCGCCACTGACTTTTTTCTTGTTGAGGCCATTTAATGTCAATTAAAATTTATCTCTTGAAACTTTGTCGAATTCGGCCTCCTTGATGAGATAAACGCAATTTTATTAATCACAATTAATAAAAATAAAATAATAAATTCTATATTTTACCTATTTTATTATTAAATATTATTACTATTAGTCCAATCTACTACAATTTCAAATAAAAAAAATAATGGTTTAAGGCAATTACAAAAAACTTAATTTTAATAAGTTTTAACATCCTGTAACTCTAAAACTATGCATTTCCATACCCATGTTTATAGGACCTTTTTTTTTTCATATTTTTTTGATGAGGAATCCATGTGTTTATCTCATCAAGAAGGCAGAAATTGACAAAATAACAAGAGACAATTTTTAATCGGTATTAAATTACCTACACTATTTCGCTAACAAGAGAAAAAAGTCAGTGGCGTACATGCTTTTTTAGAAACATTTTCCAGTGATAACCCAGTATGCGCGTCCCTGGTGAATATTTCGACATGTTTTTAGCTTTAAAATAATCTAATTTTTATTTCGACAACAGTAGTAGCCGGAGCTTGGAGAACAGTGCAGTCGTTATTTTTTTAATTTTTTATAAAGATTATGTCTCAAACAGAGCTTTTTTAAATAAGCTATAAATTAATTTATAAAATGGTCATATTTCGCAAACCACTCGGTATAAAACATATTATATATTATAATTAAAATAATCACCTAAAAACAAATTAAAAAAACCCACCGAAACCGTACAAAAAATGAATAACAAAACCAAGAATAACCGCTGATGTAAACCCACCTTAATAAAAACACAGCCTCTAAGGCCTCGTATTCACGTCCTCATCCACATCGCACAATAATACCGAAATAAACAACAACAACAACGACACCACAACAACTCGAAATAGGTACCCGTAATCAACAAACCTCGCACACACCTGCCTCGGCCAAGGTAGGAATAGGTAAAAAAACGGCCCGAAATGCACTTAGGCCGATTTAAAGGCCCGTCCGGGCGTTAAGGTCCGTTCACAGGACGTCATCGCGACCGGAGGTGCGTTGTTGTGGAGGCAGCGGGAGAATAATAAGAAGAGAAGAAAAAAACGACGCGAAGTTGGGAGCGGTTCAGTCGGGCGGCAGGACGGCAGCCTCCTGCAAAACGAACTGCTGTCGAACTGAGAGCGTATGGAAGAGGAGAGAATGTCTGTATTGCGCGACGTTGCCGGTTCCGCAAAAATAAATTACTATATTTCCTGTAACGATACTTACTAGAAATTATAGTGGAGTGCTTTAAGCCTTCATAGGATACAAACCTCGGAATTCGTTTACTGTGAATGAATTTTTATAAAACTTTTTGCATTGTATTGTTATTAAGATATATTACAAAGTTTACCCATTTAAATTCGTTGCTTTCACTTTAGTATTTTAACAAACACACATATACAAACCATTTACAAAATATGTGTTTAATGGTAGTTCACTTTCAAAAATATTTTTATAGATATACAGGGTGAGTCAAAAATATATCTATAGTTAGTTTAGTTCAGTGAATTTGCTATAAAATTCCGGTTCCAAAAATACCTTAATACCATAAAATATACTAAGTGGTTTTTGAATTATGACCAAGTTTATGAGGACGTCAATCTAGACGTCGAGGAATCTTCGTATGAGAACTTCTAATCGAAACGATCGACTTATTTAAGTTTATCGCTAAGAAACAGCCGTTTGCCAGCTTTTCAAATTGATAATGAATTGCACTTAAGGAACGTACAAATATTAACTAACGGACTATAAGAAAAAGATTAAATGAAGCAAATCTTATGTCAAGAAGGCCTGCTTCGGGACCAGAACTTACTAGATATGTAGACCCAAAAGCAAAGGCATGGTCTTTCCAACAAAAATAAAGCTAATAAAACCAAAAGTAAATAAAAAAACCAAAAAATAAACCATCGAGAAAGGATGTATCTAGATGATAAAATGATTTTTAAATTTCTTGCTGTTTTAACATATTCCACAGGGTATTTCAAACTTTTACCAAAATATCTATATACCATTTGCTGCTCAGCATGGTCCAGAATTCATCTTCGCAATAATCTTGCACAGTTCGCACTAAAAGAGTTTTTAAAAAGAACAATGTTCGACTGCAAGGTCTGCTAGTAAAAAAATTTAAGCTTAAAGTATCACAACACTATTTATTTGAACTAAAAACTAGTAATACAAAACTAAAGTGTCAAAACGAATGACAATATCAGGAAATAAATAAATAAATCACAAAACATCCCCCTTTAGAACTTTTTCTTTAATGGCCATAAGCGGGAGTAAAAGCCCAACCGCCCCCGCCCGAACAAACACTAGAGGCGCCACCGGTCGTCAAATGGTGTAAAAATTGCGAAAATTTAATCATCTAATTTTGACACAAGGGGTCGCGTTTAACTTTTTCAATTTTAATTCAATATTCATTGTTTTTGAAACTATATTATTAGACTTTGTTGTATTTTGTGAATATATAAATGTTTTCTTAGTATAAAGTTGCATTATAGTAATTTAAATTACATTACATACATATTTAAGATTCAAATATTATGACATATATGTCAGTTGCCGTCTAAAATGTCATCTTGATAACAAAAAGTTGTTTATTGTCAAAAGTAGTTAAAATCATGTTAAAATATTAAAATTTACAAGTTATAATTAGATATTTTATATTATTTCAACGACAAACACATAATAGTACAGCGTAATGTTGATATGCAGGTCCAAAACAAAAAGTGCCGTTATATTTTTCAGTTTTCGTTGTCAGCCGCGGAAGTTTCAGTGATTTTAGTGTTGTTGGATATTTTTATTTGTGAAATAGAAATATGGCGTTTGGATTGCAAAACTAAAAGTGGAAGTTTTATTGCAATGTAAGTAAGCGTTTGTCCATTTTATATATTACTTTTTTCATACCTACGACAAATATACATATTTTGAAATTTTATAATTCGTTTTATTTAAAAAATGTTAGAAAATAAGCTTGTAATCCTGTAATTGACATAATTGTTATGTAATATATTCCATTTAAATGTAATATATTACTTTACAATTAAAAAAATGTAAATCTAAAAATTATATTAAAAATATATACAGGGTGTTTCAAAACAAGTGCGAAAAACTTCAGGGGGTGATTCCTTGTTCAAAATAAAGGGTAGTTTGCTTCATAAACGTTGGGTCAAAAGTCAACCATTAGGGAGATATCGCGGTACAAAGATGGCGGAAAATAATGTTTTTATTTTTTATCTTGAAAACGAAAAGAGATAGACTAATAAAATTTTATGGAAGCATTACTGTTATGAAAACACACTTTCTGGTAATTTTTTCACTTTTTTAAAATGAGTGGAAGGGATTGAAATAAACTACCCCTATCATTCTTGTTAACGAAAGTTAAAGAAAAATCTTATTAAACACATGCAAAAAAATTAATTTGGATAGTTTAGTTTGTTTAGAAACTTTTTTATCTCTTGTCTTTTTTTGATAAAACTCACCGATTTGAAATTAAAAAATAAAATGTAAAGCATTACATGCCAGGACAAACAACATTTTCTGATAAAGAATCTAGTGGGCTGCTGTAATTTTTTTAGGAAAAAATCTAGTCGGCCACTGTTACTTTTTAGGATGTTCCTAATATTATTTTATTTGACATTACTCTACTGCAATACGTTATCATCTAGATGATTATTATTATCGTTATTATCACTAGATTCTTAATCTAAAAATGTTTTTTGTCCTGACATGTAATGCTTTACATTTTATTTTTTAATTTCAAATCGGTGAGTTTTATCAAAGAAACACAAGTGATAAAAAAGTTTCTAAACAAACTAAACTATCCAAATTAGAGCATTTGCATGTGTTGGATAAGATTTTTCTTTAAATTTCTTTCGTTAACAAGAATGATAGGGGTAGTTTATTTCAACCCCTTCCACTCATTTTAAAAAAGTGAAAAAATTACCAGAAAGTATGTTTTCATAACAGTAATGCTTCCATAAAATTTCAATATTCTATCTCTTTTCGTTTTCAAGATAAAAAATAAAAACATTATTTTTCCACCATCTTTGTACCCCGATATCTCCCTAATGGTTGACTTTTGACCCAACGTTTATAAAGCAAACTACCCTTTATTTTGAACAAGGAATCACCCCCTAACGTTTTTCGCATTTGTTTTGAAACACCCTGTATATACAGGCATTAATTGAAATTTTTAGAGTGCGAACAAACACGAGAGGCGCTTTATTATTTACTTTCATTTCTTAACATGACAGATGAAGTCCTAAAGGGGGATGTTTTGTGAAATAAATGCGGCAATTTGACATTTTTTACAGCGCCGAATATGTCCATGACTGGCAAAAATTAATTCAAAAATCGCGCCCTCGATTACGTAACTAAAAGATTAATTGGTATCAAATATATAACAACTTCATCTTATCAGTTAATAATTTATTTATAAAAAAACGTTCATAATACATACATATAAAAATTACTCTCCTTAAAATAAAACCAATAACCACATAGAATGATTAAACGATTATCATCACTTAATCACCATGTTAAATTCAATTACCGAAGTTAATTTCAAAATTCCGAAACGTATATACGTTATGAAACTGAATTTTTCATGACTCGGCGACGGCAAGGTTAGCAGAGAATAAAAAATCCGTATGTTGTGATAATTCGCGGTAAGCTTGGCAACGCCGCGCCAGCAGTCGCGCTCCAGAGGGGCAGGACCGGCATTTAAATGACCGCGGCCAGACCAAAGTAAACAAAGTATAAAAGGCGGCTTTGCGAGCTTAAAATACGATTGATGTATGTATATTTATTTCCAAAAATAATAATATACACACATTGTGTAGAATTTGTCGAAAATATAAATGATTTTCTACAGTTATAAAAGAAACTTTTTCATAAATAACATAAATACCGACATTTTTGAACAGAGTTTTGTTTCAAACAATTCTACACTGATATTAAACATTATTTTAAAATTTCACGTTTTTTAGTTTCTTGTAATTAAATTGAAACATTGATATTAAATACAGGGTGTCCCAGAAATTAGTGCAAGTATTTTAAGAGGTGGTAGATCTCGATAAAAGAAACATATTTTCTCTTTATCGTTTTTAATAAATAAGTCCAAAATAATGTATGTTATTTTACTTTGAAAATTAAAAAAAAATGATTTTTGTTAAAATTTTGAGAACCACTGGATCTTTTCTGGATTTTCTTTCTTGTAAATTTAATCTAATGCCTATGTTGCCATATTATCAAGAAATAATGTTTTTTAACTGAAAACTTAAAAAAATTCAAAAAAATTTTTCAAAAGATTTCGAATTTTCACTAGTAATACCACTAGAGGTCAAATTATTTCCGGAAATTTTTTCGAGCTCATGAATATTTTGAAAATTATCCCGAGTCAAAGACGAGGGATAATTTTCTAAAAATATTCATGAGCGAGAAAAAATGTCCGGATTTAATTTGACCTCGTGTGGTATTCGGTAAGAAAATTCCACACCAAAATGTCGCGACCGTTGCAAGAATAGCGCCAAATAGTGTTTACATTGTCCTTATGGGCACTTTCCAATCTAAACTTGTTTCGTTTATCTATGACCCAAACCAAATTTAATTATTTTAGAGTAAAATTCAATAAATACGCTCATTTAAAAAGCCCCCGCTTCGATCCATTTAAAACAAGCCCTACTCAATAGATGGCGCCACTTCTGTAGGACCATTTTTCAGTATGGCAGAGTCCATTCTTTTTGTAGCTAGGTATATTCTTTGACCCAAACCTAAAAACTATTTCAGTTTTGAAGCTGTCAAGCGGCACGGCTTAAAAAAAATGTTTCGCTTCGGTCATGAACGCAAAGAAAATATTCGTCAGGAGATTAAGCAGTTGACACCCGCGAATACCAGGAAATCGAAGTCAAGCGTATGGAAGCAGTTTGCAAACTTTCATCTCAGCTTTGTAATTGAAATGTATCAAAATTATCATGTAAACAAATAAAAACCAGACTCTCAAAAAGATTCTGTCATTATAAACGTCAAAAAATTTCCCGTATAATTCGCTGTTGGGTGCCCACAAGGAAAAAATTTTCACTAAAATTTATCCGTTTCCATGGTGATTTGTCAAAAAAC